AATGAAACTGCCTCAACACGTATGGCCCCGTGCTCAGTGACATATAGCATATACAAAGTGGTATAAATTCCTTAAAACGTATGGTCCCGTGTTTAGAAAATCTTCCATTTACAACATGTGACCCACTAAACACGTATGGTCCCGTGTTTAGAAAATCTTCCATTTACAACATGTGACCCACTAAACACGTATGGTCCCGTGTTTAGAACATCTTCAATTTACAACATGTGACCCACTAAACACGTATGGTCCCGTGTTTAGAAAATCTTCCATTTACAACATGTGACCCACTAAACACGTATGGTCCCGTGTTAGTGAAACATTCCATGTACAAGATGATCTAACTATTCAAATACATATGGTCCTGTGTTTAGCCAATATCTATTACAACATGATGTAACCTACTAAACATGTATATGGTCCTGTGTTTAGTAAAACATTTCATGTACAAAACATCTACTTTCTAACACGTATGGTCCCGTGTTTAGAGAAATATTCCATATACAACATGATGCAACAACTTAACACATATGGTCCTGTGTTAACTGAGATATTCCATATACCAAGTGATGCAACTTTCTCAACATGCATGGTCCCATGTATAGTGAAACAACATTACATACAACAATCGAATGCATAAGTTTAAAAGCATCATCAATAGAAATTGCAGGGTTAATAAGCATGTATTTTATCCTGCATGACAGTAAATCCTCATTAGGATAACATTATGCTACGGTAATTTGCATTTGTCAAACGTATGGTCCCGCTCGACGACTACTGAGCTCTGCAGAGATTGATTATAGAGATGATTCATGAACTGTGTTCACCCTTTGTTTCATATTTTGTAGAACAACTATTATAGGAGATATGATTTCAACAAAATGTGTATCTTTTAAAGGACCTGTGATTTTACCATTTTCTTTCTTTTTCCATCTAAAAATATATATATTAATGATCCTATGATCACCCTAAGTCTTCTTTGATTTCTAGAAAGTTTCATTTTAGGTAGTTTAATACCATCTGACATAAAACTTGTAAATATCCCTCAGACATGACTTTCAGTTTACTTGATCTTGATCAAAGCTTTGAAATATTCAAATGAGTCTCTTTATCCTGAATGAGGTTAGTTTTTAGATAAAGTTTTTTTTTTTTTTTTTTTTTTAAATACATCCGTCAATTGAGTTAAAGTGATTGGAATTTAAAATTTTGGGCCCTGCTTCATATCTCTAACCCCTGTTTCAGAAGAATTAATTAAAGTTTGCTTCATGTACTGAAAAAAGACATGAAGTGTATAAAAATCATTATTTCAAAATTAGGATATATATATATATATATTTTTTTTTTACAGAAACTATTGAATTCAGTGAAAAACCATTTGATCATGATATTATCTTACTCAATGGACTTGTTGACAGAGCAGTCCCCAGAAACATGAACCAATACACCACCCAAACTTAAAGTGGCTGTTGCCACAATACTTTGCTATGTTGAGGCAATGTCCTTGGTAATGGGCACTTGTTTGTCCACTGTTGTGTTTTCTGTGCATGCATATCTGATTTCTGACTGTTGTTTCCACATGGCCTATATAGCTTCTGCAAGTGTTACCCAGTGTGGATAGTGTCTGTTTCTAATTTGGTGGATAGGTAACGCTGGAAAAATAAAAGTGTAAACTACTATCCAGTATATGATATTCATTTTTTTAATCAAGTGTTCTGATCTAAATCAATATTTTAAGCCATGTCCTATACAACTGAACAATCAGAACATGCAAGATAAATTCTTAGAGAATGACATAATTATTTTACTTTGGGTATTGCACAGCTGCAATAAATCAACAGGGAATAACAGGTTATGTAAATTCCAACATGAGAATACGTCTACATATATGCAGCATAAATTATTCTCATTATAACATTATATTACCAAAAAAGCACTTCAAAATTTGCATGTCATAATATACTACCATGCAGGTCTTGCACAAATCAACAAACACAAGTGCATTATTGTGCATATGGTCCTGCACAATCCAATAAAATACATGTGTATATGGTCCTACACAAATCAACAAACACAAGTGCATTACTCTGCATATGGTCCTGCACAATCTAATAAAATACATGTGCATATGGTCCTACACAAGTCAACAAACACAAGTGCATCTGATCCTGCACATTTTTCCCTGCAAAGTTCAAAAAAATTCATGTGTATATGGTCCTACACAAGTCATCAAAAAATGTGTGCATAGGGACCTGCATGAGTCAACAACTTGCATGTGCATATATTGTCCTGCACAAGTGTCTAAGTCAACAAAATACATATGCATATGGTCCTGCACAAGTGACTAAGTCAACAAAATACATGTGCATATAGTTGCGTACAAGTCAACAAAACAAAATGTATGTCAATTTGGCATAATTATGTATGGTTCTGCATGAGTCGACAAAATACATGTGAATATAATTCTGCCCAGATCAACAAAATGCATGTGCATATAATCTTTCATGAGTCAAAAGGTAATACATATGCACATGGTCTTGTCCAAGTCAACAAAATACATATGCATATTGTTCTGCACATGTCCACAAAATATGCATATATGTTCCTACAAGAGTCAACCAAATGTGTCAGTGAAATGAATGTGAATATGGTCCTTCACAATTATAAAATACAACATAACGTGTAAATCAGTGGTGGGTTTGCATGGTAAACATAAGTAGTGTATGTATGTGGACCTCACTTTTACACTAATTCTCAGTAAAAGGTCACCTGAAACTATGGTGTGCACCCTTAGCAACAATACTATATCAGCATTAAATCATGTAAATCATTCTACCTATATACAAGCTGTGCCTATGACCTGCACAGTTTATGTGATAAATGTGTATGTGGTCCCACGTACACTATATTCTGATTCAACAATTGAAAATTTGAATCATACACGATTTGTGTACCCATATAATGACAATATTTTACCAACATCATATAGGCAACTAACACCAAACAATATTTTTGGCTCCATGAACAACTTGAGTAAACTTGAGTAAGATCATTCATTGTTCAAACTCTTAAAAGGAAAAGCAGAATTTGTTACCAAGTATAATACCTGTATTGGTAAAAATATTGCAAAATTATATAAGGAACCAAAAAACTTTAGCCTTTAATTATGAGCTAATTAACTTAATTTTAATGGATAACACATGACTTCATCAGAAGTACTATACTATACTGGCCTGTTTTATACTGGGAATGCAGGAGTGTCAAGTGAATACTACATCAGCATCAATGGAGATCTCATAACTTGTAAAAAGGTAACACTCGTCACTGCTGAGCTGTTTATATTCACTCATCAATATCTGGTTTGTGTAGATGATTCTGACATTCAAGTCCTTGAAGAAGTGAAAGGTTTCCACTGTAACAAACAGGTTCTTATTCCCCGGCCAAGGTGAATGTAAGAAGCAAACTGTCTTGTGATATTTTGGATGGACAGTTAATAAAAATGATGTTATCACATAGATGCACATTTTCTAAGCTCAGCAAATTGCAAATCACCGTAAATAGGCAAAAGTTCCTAAAGGAATGAAGTTACCGGTGTGATTGATAAAATCTCCAGGCCTGATCGCGGTGTTAGGATTAACGATGTAGGTGAATCACTGACGGCCAGTTGCAAAAACCTCCCGGGAAAAAAAGTCTATACACTGTCAGGTCTATAATGTAATTGTATATTATTGTTTACAGCAGAGACCTACAGCGAAGGGTCTATGTTTACAGCTGACATAGTGTATGTAAGAGTTTTCGGGATCTCGAGCCCGACATTATTTACTACATATTTTACACCACTGTAGATACACTGACACTGTTTATCGATCGTTTACCAAATTTACTTCAGTTGACCATATTATTCCCCAGACGACTCGTAGTAATAGAATATCCATGTAAGAATCGCATGTAAAGTATTTTGGTCGTCCTGAATTGCGACTTCCTCAGCATGCTTAATGCCCGCATGTAAACTTTACAAGGCCGATTTCGCAACAAAAACTCACTTTACAGACGTTTTTCTGCAAATAACAAGCAGATCACATCGTCCGAAATCTTCAAAATGGCATCACAACAAAAGTTGTAGAATTTTCTTTGGGAAATATGGTATAAATTCGAAAAATTCAGCAGTTCAATAAACCATGCTTTCTCGTTTGGTAAACGGATCAATAATGATCACGTGGAAAAGGGTAAAATTAGTTCAAAAAGGAACCGAATAGCTACTTAGTATAAAACTATGTCCAATACAGACACTGTTTTATAATAACATAATAAAACAAGAACATGTCACATAAATGAAATTATTTGCAATAATTACTATTTTTTTTAATATAGAGTTTTTGATCACTCATTGTGGGCTTGCCCTATCCCCAGGGCTCATGATTTTAAAAAAAATTGAATCTAGAATATGTCTCCATATAATATATAAATATTACCAATCGTTGCTTTGATGTTCTTGAGATGATATTTAACGATATTTTCCTATATATATGTCTATGTAAAAAAAATGATTCCAAATTGTAACCCCACGCTACCACTGGGGGTCATAATTTGAACATTCTTGAATCAACACTACCTGAGGATGCTTCCTTATAAATAATCACAATCATAGCTCTTCTGTTCCTTGAAAAATAGTTATGGAGAAATTTCCTATGTATTCCATATAAAAATTTATTCATCCATTGTACCCCCTACCTCCGAGGGTCATGGTGTGGACAAAGTTCTTAATCTACATCAACTGAGGATGCTTCCATAAAAATACATATAAGGCAAATCATGGCTTTGCTGTTCTTGAGTAGAAGATTTTTAAATGATGCCATTATTTGTTGATTAGTTCCTAATCATCTCCTCTTGAAAATGGCTGCGATCCTTCATATTTCAAACAAAATTTGATTCCCTTTACACATTTTCATTTTTTATGGCATAACATTTTTTTTTTGATTTTATAACTCCTATATTCCAGACATTTGTGTACGTGATATCTGAAAAACATGCTGAGTGCAAGTTTCCCAGTGCAAGGTGTGGTCGACTGGATGAGATACATGTACAACAGGATGCACGCAGTAAGAGTTTCTTCAAGATCTATAAGAATTCTCTCAAATTTGATTCTTAATTTACATTTTCAATGGAAATTGAAAAAATGATTTTGTTAACAGATGAGCATCCTAGTACAAAACCATTATCACGGATTCAATCAATCCCTGGGTTGGTAGTCTTTTCTTATTTTTCCTTTTCGAGACTAAAACATATCTTGTACATTTGTAAATTTCAAATTTTTGTTTAAAAAGCTAAGATAGAATTCACCTTGTCACTGTCACTGTAGTAGGTACTGAATTCCTTTGATTACCACAATACAAATATTCTTTAATGTCAGGAAAGACAAATATTTGTCAATGAATTGTTCGGTTAATATTTTAAATCATGAACATTCTTTCATTTCAGTATATGCATAAGATATATCAAAGACAATCATAAGGAAATCAAGTTATCGAACAGCATTGAATCACTAAAATTAACTGAGAATTTCGAAAACACTATCTATTATTTCAGGTCCGTGTCCTGTTTTTCCACGAATTCAACTTATTCCACCAAATTCAATTTTTCCACAAGGTTCATTCATTCCATCGTATCCAATTATTCCACAAAGTTCATTCATTCCACCAAATCAATTTATTCCACAAAATTCACTTATTCCACAAAACCCACTTATTGAACAATATCCACACATTCAACACTATCCACTTATTCCGCATTATGCAAGGTTTACGCAAAATCATTATATTCCGCAAGTTCCATTTTTTCAACAAAATCAATGTATTCCTCTTTATCAACGGAATCTACAAAATCCATTCATCCTACTTTATCCAAATTATCAATTCGGAGGGCTTCTACCAATAGGGTACGTGTTTCTGTTGATTTACACCTCAAATCGCATGTCTACTGATAATTTCATAGGATTTACTCCTTTATTTTATAATGCTTCAATAGAATTTTAAATTTCTTTTTCATTCGTTGAATGAAAAATATTTCTAAAGGATTTTAGGCTGACAATAGCTGCAGATTTGTAGTGTTATCGTTTTATATATTGGTCTTTGACCATAATGCTACAGATCCGATAATGCAGAAAAGGTGCAATTTACGATGGAAATATTTTTTGCGCACTTTTGGGAAGAACTTCTCCACTTTAATATTGGCCACTTAATGACCTCTTCCTTTCCCTAATTAGTACACATTCTGTAGCTGCTATATTCATTTTTTCCCCACTCGTCAAACATTTATAGTTGTCTCTACAGGCAATAACAGGCTTGTAGTGAATTTTCAGCAATCTAAAGTATAATTTTAATCAAGCGAAGTTCATCACATGTATAGACGACTATAATGTGTTGGTAGATGGATAACATATACAGGGTAGTTAAATAATGTGCCTAAAAGTAGGGGGTGAAAGGTAGTTAATTGACCGATGCTGGAAAGTAAAAACCTTCAAATGTCAAAAAAAAGATTGCGCCGTGAATTGCACCTTATTTGCATTTCGGGCATCTGTAGCGTTATGGTCAAAGACAAATATATAAAACCATAACACTACAGATTTGCAGCTAGGCTGATAAGAGATTTAAGTAGATCTAAGTTGAAACTTCATCTTGTTTTTAAAAAAATGGTATATGAGTTGCTAACGTGCTATTAAACGTTATTTTCCTGCGTTCCAGATTAATTGGCCAGAGGCGCCGCATTTAGAAGAAAGTTATCTAGACTGGGCACAGTTGGGTAAGTAACATAACTTTGCTATAAGCTTTTCTAAAATGATGTACAGGTATATATATTGAAAGGGTATATTATCAAACAAGGGTACTTATAAAAAGCTAACCACTCACTAATTTTTTCTTTCCTTATCTTGCCTAATCTACAAAACACACTACAGCTGAAATAAATAGATGGAAAATGTAAAAAAAAAACATGAGTGAGAATTTTAATATCTCATAGGAGTCATGTACATGCGCCGTGCACTTTAACTTTTCAAAGTTCACAAATTTGTTGTTAAAAGGATATTCAAGCTCGAAAATGTTTCTAAATTATCTCCACATGCTTCCATGCTTAACTTTCCCTTCAGGTTTGCTTCGTTTCGAGCAAAAGTTCATTGTAGTTGGAACATAAGCTAACTGTAGCCAGGTGTTGGATGTTGGATCCACCTATTTGTGTTTAGAGTTTCATTGTTTGTCTGTCTTCGTTGTCATTCGCTGTCGATGTCACGTGATTTAGTATGATAGAAAAAGGGGGTTATAGAGAGAGAGAGTGAGTTGTATTCACTAACAAAACCTTTTTTAAAATTTACCTGTCCGCCTATACCCATACCCATGCACACCGTCAAGGTAGAAGCACCAATTAATGAATGTATAGCGTATAGGGTGATGTAGATGGTAAGCTTCCCAGAATTTTCCATCGGATGAATTAACAACAGATAGTAGACATCGACTGGAAGAAAGAACAGAGAGAACATAAGACCATAGCCAGAGTCATAGAGATTTTAGAGCAGGGACAGAAGGGTAGAAAAGAATCAAAAATGGTACAGAAATATTTAAGAGAGAGAAAGAAACTTCAATCATTGATGAGATTTTATACAAAAATTTCCCTTTCTTAGATGGAGAGAAAGTTACTCAATTTGTTTACCAGAACATTTCAAAGATGTAGTTTTCGTAGGCATTCACAAAGAAGTAGGACACCCAGGAATAGAGAAGACCATTTGGCTAGCAAAGCAGAGAGTTTATTATCCAGGGTTAGAGCAAGATATCAGAGCCAGAGTAGAGAACTGTGAGAGATGTATCAGAAGTAAAACACCTATCAGACCAAGAGCCAATCTTCATCCCATTACATCAACCAAACCATTAGAGATTCTTTGTATTGATTTTTTGTCTTTAGAGAAATGTAAAGGGGGGTTTGAAAATATCCTTGTTATTACAGATCACTTCACCAGATAGCCTGCCTTATGAAAAACCAGTTAGCGACTACAACAGCTAAAGCTTTATATGAAAATTTTATTGTCCATTACAGTTTTCCAGATCAACCCCATAGCGACCAAGGGAGAAATTTCGAAAGCAAAGTCATCAAAGAATTCTGCAAGATAGCTAACATCAAGAAATCGAGAACAACGCCATACCATCCTGAAGGCAACGGATCAGTTGAAAGATTTAACCAAACCCTGATTAAAATGCTGAGTACACTAGAAGAAAGCCAGAAAGCAGATTGGAAATCTTATGTTACAACATTAGTACATGCCTACAATTCAGTCAAGAATGATGCCACTGGGTATTCTCCACATTTCTTAATGTTCGGATGGCACCCACGCCTGTCACTAGATGCATTCTTAGGAATCAAACCAGGAAATCAGAATGTAGGAGCAAAAGATCACCAATCATATGTACATAAACTCCAAGAAAGATTACAGTATTCTTATAAAGTTGCCGCAGAAGAATCAAAGAAAAATGCAGATAAAAATAAAGAAAATTTTGATAGGAAAGTTAGAAATTCTAAGTTAGAAAGGGGGGATGGGTTTTAGTTAGAAAAGTAGGTTTTAAAGAAAAGCATAAACTTGCAGACAAGTGGGATGAATATGTTTACATTATTTTAGGTATTCCAAATGAAGAAATTCCAGTTTATGTTGTTAGGCGTGAGGAGGGAAAAAGGGGTTACACAGAAATTTTCTTTTGCCTTTTAATTGTATTCCTACGTTATTTCTTCTCCAGTTTCTAAACAGGTCAAAAAGAATCAGAGTCATCAGACAACACCCACCATTCCTTCAGATGATTCATCTCAAAGTTCTTCAGATGAGAGCGATAGAGGAGTTTACATCATACCACAGAGACGTCGTTGTCAAAACACTCAGCAGTCTTCTCCTCGACAGTCAACTATAAACCAATCCTCTCCCCGACAGTCAACTATGAACCATTCATCTTTTCGACAGTCATCAAATTCTTCTTTACATGAATCTACTTTACCATCTTCTTTTTCTAGATCTTCAGTTTCAGTGAATTCGCCCAGTATTGTCTCCACCTCCCAGAAGATCGACTAGAGTTAGTAAACAGCCAGAGAGATAGGGGGAGTGGCAGTATGTCCAGGATGTCAGCCAGAAATGTTTTTTTGGTTAGTGTAGAGCCAGCAGAGATGTGATTAGTTATAGACACTTGTGTAGTTTGTTCGTGTGTCAGTATGTTTCTAGTTATAGATTTTCATGAAGTTATACTTCTTATTTTTTTTACTATGTGTATATACTTACAGGTACGACTTATATATTATATGATGACAACAATGAAGTTTGTTTTTCATCAGTATTACTACTGATGTATGATAGCAAGTATATTTTTTTAGTACCACTTACCCACCCTTTCCCTTGGCTAGGTTATAAGGAATGCAGGAGCCATTTTCTCCTGGCAGGGGGAATATGTAGCCAGGTGTTGGATGTTGGATCCACCTATTTGTGTTTAGAGTCTTCATTGTTTTTCTGTCTTCGTTGTCATTCGCTGTCGATGTCACGTGATTTAGTATGATAGAGAGAAAGGGGGGTATGGGGAGAGAGAGAGAGTGAGTTGTATTCACTAACAAAACCTGTTTTAAATTACCTGTCCGCCTATACCCATACCCATGCACACCGTCAAGGTAGAAGCACCAATTAATGAATGTATAGCGTATAGGGTGATGTAGACTGGTAAGCTTTTATCTATATTTATAATTTCCAGTAATATATAGATTTAAGTAATTTAAAGTAAAGATAATGTAAGATTTGTAAAACGTATTTTTAAAGTTAGTGAACTGTGTGTAAAGAATGAATGCTTAGTATTTTGTATGAATGTTGTAGGTTTATTTCCATACATATAAATTATCAAAACCCAAGAATATTGTTACTGATCTCTACCGACGGGTTACATAACGATTTGCCCAAAGAGCAGTTAATTAAAAATGATTATTATATCATTATATTATATATAACACTATGTGTCTGTTATGTTCTTAACTATGAAATATGAAAGATAACATATCAGTAGTCATACCTAAAATCCACTCAAACAAAGCTGACTCAAACTGTGAGCAAAACAGTGATCCCTGAAAATCGAAGAACAAGAACCATTAGGATTATCTTGGTATCCCCGTAAACCCGTAATTCTGAGTGTGTTCTTAACCATGATTGCATAAACGTAAATTCAACAAACAATACAATGTAAGAATAATGGCCTAACAATCTGCATGCGAAAAGGTCGACTTCAAGACAAATTTGTACTTGTAAACAAGGTCCTTGTATCCACCAAATGTTTTGCAAAATATGTATTTAAAACGTGATTTAATGAGCAATTTCTATCTTGTAAAATATGTGTTGCTTGTAGGATTGTCCTTAGCATAATGTATACAGTAAAGAGTCTGTAGAATAATTTAAAATGCTAATGGAATGTTGATAAGAAATATTTTATGTCAGCTGGAATAAGATAAAATTGCCATAGGGACAATGGATATTCTTTGGAAAAAACCCCAAGGTCTCAATTAGTTTTATTTCTTTATTCACCATATTTATACCTGAAGATAAAATGTTATGTAGTACGTCTTGTAATTTCAAATTCTAACAAAGAAATAATTGTATACAGGAAAATATAAATTTTCTTCTTTTTAAACTGTTCATTGTTTCATTTAGTATCATTGACAGAATGCGGCACAATTGTATATCTAGTCGAAAAGGGGAAAAAAATTTACCCTTTTATTTCCATATCATAGATTCAGTCACAAGTGAGTTATTGGACGGATAGGAAAGTCATGGTTCAAAGCTTTAAATGATAATTTTTGAAGGAGTATTTTATCAATGTATATTTAATGCAAAATGTAACAAAATCTAGAAGAATGTCAACT